TGTTTTGTATTTTTGTATGCACATTTTTTACATTTTTGCCTTTTTATTTATTAGCTTGTAAATGACACTTCGATCTCAGAATAAAAACTATACCTCAGAAACTTTTAAAAAACGTTTAGAAATATATGCCAGCAAATCAAATCGTGGCTGTTGAAATCAAACGAAGTCGATAATCGAAACGTTAGTAGCTATTATTGACTCCAAAAAAAGTACACTAATTTCTATAATAAACGGGATTTTTACATCACGAAGGAAAAGGAATAAAGTAATTTTACAATGTTAACTTCACCGAATAATAAAGCACTAAACAATGACAAAAAAGACGAAGGTAATATTTATAAGGTTGTGTTACAAAAGTATGTTCTTTATGATTATACATATTCACAAAGTTATAAAATGATGGTCAGATTCTCAGTCTGGTTATGCGTTATTTCACTGTTTATAAGAAATATTTGACAATGCTCTCTGCTCACTGTGCTCATTGCTCGAAATTCATTCGCTCATTCGGATTAATGAAAAGGGCACCTGCTGCATATGAAACGGATGAATCGTTCAAGTTACGGCTCTAAAATTGTAATAAAAAATGAAAATTGCATAATCTTCAATACCAAATTTACTTCATGAATATTAGTATCCCGATGTTTTAAAAAGTGAAATATGCCTGTATGACACCAGCACACATTTCCACAACTAACAATCTAATTCTTAACGAATAACAATTCGATTTGGATCAATTCCCACTTTTCCTAAGACGACAGCTTTGCTTACACTATGGATAACCACTTTTCTGACACATAGATCTTTGGTGGCTCTATTCGCAAGTTTCACGACATTGCATGCAGAATATATCACGGCATACTAAAATGTGAAACGAATATAAGCATCTCTATACCGATTCCGTCAATGATAGTCTAAACTATAAATAATGAAGAAACAATTCACTTTTCAAGCAGTTCTTTAAATAGACAGAAGACACCTGGACAAATAATTCTTAAATTCTATGCAATGAAGTAGTCAGTACATGCATATCTTATATATGGCCTCAAATTGGTTTCAGGTGAGATTTTATGTTTCCTAATAAACAAATACCTGATTAGACTGTGCATATTTAAGAAATATGAATTCCGCGAAATGATTGTTCATTTGACGGAAATATTCCGCTGCCTGAAAATACAATAGGAATCGCTCAATGTGCTCAGATTAAGTACAATATAACGATAACAACAATATAATATAGAAATGAATATTTTGAGATGCTTGAAACAATCAACAATGATTTGTTACCTTTTATTGTGAAAGACTACTATTCTTGATTAGATTATACTTTAATTTACTGATAACGATTGCATTAAAATAATATGCTTACATGAAGTATAACGCTGATTGGATTTCTGCCACAGATTGTATTTTGTGTCCTTTTCAAATACTCGCCAAACACGGCTGGATTAAGACTAGAAATTGCGTCCATTCCCTGAAAACAGCCCAATGCATAACTTTTAAGATGTGCAAGCATATATCAACATTAAAATTACTAATTATTTATAAGTGTACAGCATCAAAAATTCCAAGAATAACTTAACATTTCCGCAAATGCTACAAATATTCATTTCATGATAAGCACTCAAAAATACTTATAAGCACAGATTACTATAATGAAATAACTAAAAATAAAGCAGAAATCACACCTTCTTCATATGCAAACACTATTCTTCCTGGGATCACACATAATTTATTAATCACCACTTTTTTTAAATATTAAATATAAAAGTTAAGATCAAAAAAGAGAATAGACAGCACCTGTTTGTCCATAGCAGCAATTTGTTCATATATTGGTACACCGGTGCTATTGTCGTATGGCATGAAATGGAATCGATTTCCTTTAAGCAAACATCAATCATCAATCAATAAATAAGCAGAAGGAGGTGGAGCCATTTTATCTTACTTAGACTTCCAAATGTATAATTTCTCAATCTGATTTTTTTATATAATGGAAATTTTAACTTATTTAGAATTCAGAAAAAAGAATCATTTTTAAACTATACCCCAATGACAGAAGTCGGAACTGACGACAAAAACTATCTTCGGATCTGACAGATACTTGCTAAATATTTTACCATAACTGGCTTGCTTTGAAGGTGAAAGTGATCCTACCAATACTGGTACAATGCTATAACTATTCATCGACTTCCTACAACAAAAAAGGTAATGCAGAAGTCTCCGCATCCTTCCATAATTTGATTCATTAAAAGGAACGAAACAACACTGTTTGCAAGTTTTCATTCAAATCACAGCTTATTCATTCAGCCCTAGAATGAAACTGTTGCTTTGATCTAAAAAAAATATACTTTTCCATAATTTTTGCTATGTAAGGCAATTGCATTTCAATGCTATGTTCCGCTTCTTCACTACGCAAATCCATTAATGAAAAAGCTCCGGTTTCTTTCAGCTCCATATTTGCTGCAAAAGTTATAACGCCGCCAATATTAATATAAATATAGTATTATACAGTCCCTTACAGTTTTAAGCTATACTAAGATTGTTATGAATTTTACTAAATGGTTACAATGATACTAAGATCCAATTCAACCACAATATAGTCATGAACGACATGAACGATTTTCTTCAACTATTTCAGCACTCTCTTTCTATCATCAACACCATCACCATGCATACTATCCCAAAAAAACTGAATCAATTTCCATAAAGCTTAATAATTTGCAAAAAGTTTAACCACTTCATCCATGTATGTTACCAATCAATAATCAGTCGATAACTGACCACATAAACAAATGTATCAATTTAACAGGGTTTATTTTCCCTCATGATCGATATATTAATGATAATATGTGAAAGAATTGGGAAAAAGAATACTTCGTTGATCGATTTGAAGGTCACCTATAGGTGTACGATAACGCGAACAGGTTGATAATGCACAAGTATCCAATGACATCACGTGTGATGGTCCCAATACGAATATAATACTACTGTAACAGTTATACAAAATAATGCATAGATTCCAGAAAAAAATAAGTTTTTAAAACAACTACTTAGCAGAAAGATTACAGTCAGTGCATAAGAAATGCAAAATTCTGCGACTGATTTGTTCCTCTTATTGAATTCCATGATTATAAAATCTATTTATCTATCTATATCGATATGATGCTTAAGAAAATAACATGACAGCATACAGAAAGTAAGAAAGATTGATTCAGATACGGTTCACTTCTTGCTTGTTGCCCTATTGTAAAGTTACACCTCAAGTCCTTAAAATAAGTAATAAATGATGAACTGACCAATCGCATGATTTCACCAGTTGTAAACAAGTGACACTTTATAAAAGGCAAGTTAGTAAACAAACTGATTAAACAATTTAGAAATCGGTTACATGTAATTTTCAACCTGATCAATTATAAAGTTAAAGCAATCTAGTAGGTAAAGTAGAATTTTCACTCACACAGTTTCGGGAATAATTTGCTTGAAGGCAAAAGCTGCAACCCTGCCGCTATATGAATAACCAGCATGCCTGAAAAAGAGCACTAATTGTCAGAAATACATTGGGAATATAGAAAGCTTCGAACCTGCCCATTTGTCTTATTCCAATCTCGAAAATTTCCTTCTTCATATCTTCCCTTCCGTTTCACTTGCTCTTACCAACCTTTCACTTATTCAGCAATACTAGAAGGAATGAATTAGATATGATGGAAAGGAGATGTTGAAATTAAAAACTTAATCATACTTGAAGCCGTGATCGAAAAATGACTTCGCTGCTATTAATCCATACTGGTGCTATCCTTTAGCGTATTACTAACGTTATCATCCTGTATGAATAATTGATACCAAAATTAGTGATATCCATAAATAACCTGGCTAGCAAAACTTAACCTAATTAATCTATTGGAAGCAAAAATTGTTAATTTAAAATGTGCAATGTTTAACTTTTCACCGTCGTGAAACGACAGCACATACTTACGGTGAAATAATAGCACGAGCTGACTGGGGATGATGTGAACCGGCAGCACTGAGCCATTCTGTTAGTTCACGATGGAGTTTTCTTGGATCATCTGTATACCTAACAAAGAATAAAGTAGTACTATATAGAAAAAATACAACAATTTCAACTCTTAAAAGATATAAGTGAAGTATGAAACAACAAGGGTTCACGTTGTTTTGCTACATCACATTATGCTTATTAGATATAAAAAAATGAAAACAAAACAAACCAGGATCCAGCGTGGGATGCATTTCTTACAGCACAACCAACGGAAGTCATTCTTTCAAATGAAACAGTTTTGACGTATTCTAATGCTGTAAATAAATAATAATTAGACGAATTACCTAAAACACAATGAAATCATAAATTTGCATTTGAAAAATATCATATTAAATTTGCTTGATGGAAATTTTTTTACTGATTAATATGCAAGAAATATTACTTAGCCTCTAATAAAATCAATAAAATATGAAAAGTGAGGACAAATAAACGAATGAAAACATAAATTAAATTGCAAAAATCTAAAAAAAAATATTCCTATATTTTCCCTGTTGCTCATCTTTTATTTAATCTAACCTTTGAACTCATCGAATAACTTTTACTTTGTTTATTTGCTTAAATGAGTAACAATATTTCACGCTAAGCACAATATAATGAATCGACCATATTTGCCACGCAATGAAAAGTTTTAGTATAGAGATGACATTAGTGAGATGAGTGTCAGAGAGAAATAGTGTTGTAGAGGATGATAGAAATATTTGTTATTGTCAGAGAGCAATAGAGGGAACAGAAGTGTTGCATTCCATATTCTTCCCGCGGTGGTGTTTTTCCTTACGGTAGTTCTTCTGGTGTTTTTCCTTACGGTAGTTCTTCTGGTGTTTTTCCTTACGGTTGTTCTTCTGGTGTTTTTCTGTAGTATTCTTTGCTTTTATTCTTTGAGTAATTGATTTCAAGTTTTGCTTACTTTCACTTACAAAGTTTTGCTAGAAATTAAATTAAAAGCAGAATTATGACACGAAAAAGAAGGATTGTTGTATCAGATGATCAAACTATGCTGCCAAAAAGTGATAATATGATAGTAAAAAGTGTCGATCATATGATCTTAAAAGAAGGAAATGATGTGATAAAAGATAAAGATGAGGAAATGGAACAAATGGATGAAGCTATGATAGTAGCAGATAACGAGTTGGCATCAATTAATGATGGTAATGATATGTTATCATCAGTAGATGAAAATATGATAGATACAAATGATATGTTACTAGCTAGACGAGCAAAAAAACCAATAGAAGAAATTGTGGCATTAAGTAATTGTGAAATGGAAAAGAATAATGAACCAATGATAATATTATCGAAAAATAGTGGTGATATGATACCAATGGATATAGCCATATTATCAGTAGACGAAGATGGAATATCAGTAAATGAAGTTGTTGGATTATTGGAAGGAAATGATAAGCAAAATGAATGTCCAAGCAAAGATGGATTAATGATAGTAATGAACAGTGATAAGGTAGGAATGGATGAAGTAGCATCTATAGATGAAACAATGTTAGTGGATGGACCATTGCAATCAATGGATGAAATTATGATATCAGAAAGTACAATTATGGAATTGGATGATCAGATTGTGATATCGAAAGGTGATAATGCATTAATGGAAATGGATAAAATTATATCACCAAACGAGAAAGTAATAAAAGTGGAAAATCAAATTATTATTTCAAGTGATGATGTGATGGAAGTAAAAGTTGATTCGATAGGATCAATCAGTGCAAAACTATCAGTAATAGATGAATCGATGACGTCAGTTGACAAAAATGAACAAAATGTTTGTTCTATTAGCATCAAACAATAACTTTGTAGTATCAACAATGGAAAACAAACAGTAGTTCAGGAAGTTTTCATAATATTAAATTTTTGTTCTATAATTCAGAGAGTTTTCATAATTTAAATTTTTATTTCAACTAAATTATTTCGCATTTTTTAAGGCTAAAGTTTATTGATTGAATTATTGCTAAATTCAAGGTTGCAAATTTAGCATTAATTATTATAATCTTTGTCGTTTTTTTTTTTTTTCCGAAATTGAAAATAGTTTTTATTAATTTACTAAAGAATGTTGATCATGTTAGTAGATTCAAGAAAATTAAAAAAAAAAAAAAATTAACAAAATAATTTTTTAGAGTAATAGCAAACAATAAATTACTTACTGCTTTTTAATGATCTCTTCAGAAAAAAAAAAAGAGGGAAAAAAACCTAAATTAACTGCGATCACATATGATCAAACACTAAACTTTATTCTTTAAAAAAATCTATGCGTCCTTTTTTCCATAATTTAATTTTCTATACTTTTAAACATATTATATATTTCTTCTAAACTTTTATCATTTTTTTCATCTTTCTCCTTCTTCTCTTTTTCTCCTTTTCTAAACAAGGCTCTTCTTTTTTTTACAAAAGTAATCCAACCAGTTCTAACAATGATTACAACAATTACTACTATTTTCTACTTTTACTTCAATTACTACTTTTACTGGTAAATATTGTGTACATAAAAAGGAGAGAGAACAACAAATATAATATATTGTATTAAAATTGTAAAAACTGGAAATTTTTGGAAATGGATGTTTTCAAATTCTCCACTAATTAAGACGAAATGTAAAGAAAAGAAAAAGAAGGAGAAATTGTAGAAATTGATGGATTTATTGATTGATTGAAAACAATCAGCAAAATACTGGTTTTATCAAATAAATATCCTTTTCAACAAACAAATATCCATATGCTTTAACATTTCTTTCTTCTCTAAAATTCTTCATCATTTATTATTTAGATATTTTCTAGAGGAAAAAAAAAAAAACTTTTTCTTTTTTTAAATAAAAAATAAACGAAAAAAAAATTTCCTTGCATACATATATATATATATCATCTATTTCTATCAATTTTTCACAATGATATTATTTTAATCATCAATTCATGTTATTTTCGTTTTTGTTAAGTATTATCATAAATTTAATCTGTTATCTGTTCGCTATTATTATTTCAAATAAATTTTTGAAAATGAAAAAAATTATAATCGCTTTTATATTTATTTTAATATTATTTTAATTACCATTCATTTATGTTGCTTTTTTTTTTCCTTTTTCTTTCGATATTATTAAATAATTTAACAAACAATAGGTGAACAAATCTATTTTCATCTTTTTACTACTAAATATTATTTCATTGATGGATGATATTCCCTCTCTCTCTCTCTCTCTCTCTCTCTCCTCTCTCTTTCTGTTTCTTTCTTTTCTCTCCTTTTTCTTTCTTCTTTTTGCAGGAAAAAATGGTTACTTTCTTATTTGGCTATATTATTATTTCTCTCACAACTATTATACTTTATAACTAATCAAAATGGTAATTTGATAATGGATAATATCAACGAGCAATGACCGTAACAACAGTAATTTTTTCATCAAAGGTAATTTTTATTTTGATACTTCATCATAATACTTTGAAATAATTAGTTAGGAATACATTAACTGACTGAGAATATATTTTGAAGGCAATTAATCATAGATATATTTTTAAAATAATTAATTGGAGAAATATTTTGGAAATAATTGATTAGAAATATTATTAAGTAAATAATCTTAAATTTGATACTTTGGAAAATCATTGATTTGTTAATGTAAGGGAAATTATAGTATTTATAAGCGATAGGTGTTTTTTTATGCAGTAATTATGAATAGATTACAATTGCTAATTAACAATGCTACAACAATTAATATTTGCAGTTGTTATTTTGGTGTGTAATAATTTTATTAGATTCTAATTGGAATGCTATCAATTCATCTTCTTCGTCATCTTCATGGTTACATCACAATGATAGCAATTTGCATTTTTCTAGCCAACCAGCAAATTCAAGTAAGTGAAGCTTGAATATGTGAATCAAGTAGAATTTATTTTTAAAATTTTGAAATGAAAATTGAAAGAATTACATCAGTTAGATTAATTCGGCACTAATTCGTTAACTGTTTGTGATATTTATAGCTACGTTAATTTCAAACACTAATTATATGTTTCCTAAATTCTTTTTGGAAAAAAAAAAAGTACTTAAGGAGTTTCTGAAATTTTTTAAATGATATTTAAATGTTAAATTTCATTTTCAAAATTTATTCATACATATTTCGTATTACTTCAAATTTTTATTTCTTTATTAAAAATTATAAAGCACTTCTTTAAAAATTATAAAGGTACAAAATTTAACTCTATTTAAATGACTTTATATTTATTTTGAAATAATCATCGACAGATTTTTCACATGATGGATTTCGAGGGGACGTTACAAGTAGTGAAGAAATTACTTCCAAAAATGCTGAAAAGGTATTATGCTTTTTGCTAATATTATACAAATATTGATCGATTGATTTTAAGATAGTTACCTTTTATTGAATTTATTTTGAGCTACAAATACTTTATAAAATAATTATTCTGAAATTTTCAACTTACATAAGGATCATATGTCTTTTTTACACTGATGATGAATTAGTAACAAATGTTTTCGATAACAATACAGATGAAATTGGTCTAAAAGTTGATAAATCATTCTTCGTAATATAAATCATAGCTCTGTACTGTTTATATGAGAATCTTTTTTTCTTTTTTGAATTTAGAAACAGTTGAAATTATTGATTTTTTTTTTTTTTGATTTAAAATTCCATCAATTTAACCAAGGATTGATTTCAAGGAGATTAGTGACGACGATCAACGCTATGATGAAGTTGAACAATTGATTATTCCATCAGTTGAAAATTCCACAAAATCAAAAAGGTCACGAATAATTTATCATTTCTACAAGTTTAATTATTTATGTAAAATGTTAAATTTTTAAATTTGCTTTGTCAAAATCACAATTATGTAAACAATTGAAATAAACAAAAACAAAAAAAAAAAGAAATGAATAGTTTTGAACATAAAATACAAATTTTAAATCAAACTCAATGTAGAATCAAGAAAATGAATTAATCAGGAATTATATATACTGAAATGGAAAAAACATAAACCATAAAATTTCAAAGGTAAATTAATCATTTCGATAGCTAATCTTAAAATTTTTATATTTAACTTCTGTTACTACTTTTGTTCTAGACGAATATTGAAGAATGCGAAACGATGCATTCGATATAATGAAAAATATCTTTATCAATTGTTGGAGCGATCAGGAATGTTTAACCAATGGTTTATGGCAAATAATCCGGAAGAAGCGGGGCATAATTTTGCTCCTTTTCATAAAAGTTTTTTCAAAACCAATTTTGATTATTTTGATCAACCTCAAGATGATAGTTTGCCTTCTGATATTGAGGTTAGTGTATTAATTAATATAATTAATTATATTTATATAGCTTATACCAATATATTAGTTGAAAAATTGGTCCTATTAGTTTCGTTCCTATTTTTTCAATCTCATTCAACTTCCTCCTTTCTCTTTTCTTCATTTTTCCTTCTGTTTTCTTTTCCTTTCCTTCTCTTTTCCCTTTCTTTCAAAAATACGATATTAAAAGAATTTTTTTTCTTAGGAATAAAATATTGGAAATATTTTTTTTTTTTTAATTTAATCTATAAACAATGATTAATGAATGTTTAAGTACTCTTTTCTTCTATCTAATTTTAAATGGTATCTAGTTTTCTATTTAGTTTTAAATGGATCATTCTGATCATATCATTTAATTATTAAAGTTGTAACTGTGAAATATCGTATTCAGTTAAATAATTTCAGGATATCAATATATCATTTAATTGTGATGATTTGTGTCAGAGTATAATTTGGAAATTAGATGAAGCACTTGAAAAGGAGAAAAATGATACACTTTTATTAAATGTATCATTTTTGGATGATGCTCAACCACGTGTAATCAATGATGGTTCAACGAAATCAGCATTAACTAATTGTCAGTTAGGTAATCATTTAATTAAGTAAAAACATTTGAATTTTTCAATCCGATATAAAATGGATGAAGGAAAATTCCTTTCTTATGAAATATTAATCAAATGATATTGATAAACTTATCAGTTATATATTTATCTTTTAATTAATTGTTACTACTTACCTCTGTAAACAGAAAGACAAAAATAATCTTACGGAAATGAAAATTAAAAAAAGTAAAAAGGAAAAAAATTGGAAATTTTAGATTTGACGCATATACTTTGAAAGATCTTTTGTTTTTCTAAATGTAATTAATTTTTTACTGACAATTTCGAAAACAGACATTTTTAAAATTAAAATTTATTACCAGCCTAATCTGTCACATTTTTATATCATTTTGAAATCTTTAAAATTTATTTTCAAGAATCACTCTGAGTAATAGCTGATGTGTTTAATATGCCAGATATTAAGCTAAACAATTTAGCAATTAATTTTTCATCATCTCTTTTCCGTTAAACATAATATGAAGAACAGGTAAATCATAATTGTTTAGGAATGTTCATACCTGTTGGGAAATGTATCCAGCAAGGTGCAGAAGAATTCGAAGATCATAGCAAATTATGTGCATCTTGCCAAGGTGTATATATGCTTGGCAAAATGTGTTTCCCGCGATTCATTAATGCGATAAAATGTGAGAAACAAATTCAAACATCTGGATGTATTTTCGACAAAATCTCAACTAAATGTAAGATTTAAACGCCAGACAAAGTAAGCCCATAATTATAGATTTAAAATTCTTTCCTTAAGTTCCTCAAATTGATAGATTTATACTTCAAATATTTATTTTGTAAAAATAAAAAAGGAAAAAAAAAGCTGTTTGTTAAACAGAAACTAAAAGACAAACATTATGAACTAATAAAAATACGACCATTCTTTATATTTGGTAATTGCTTATT